ATTTCATTCTGCTCCTTACTGTCCAGCTTTTTTATTTGTTTTAAAAGGCAGCCACTACTTAGCCCTTGCCATTAAATAGTTCCTGTCTGGATACAAGGGTCTAAAAATAGGAGACAGAATTGATGGATTTTCCTGTGAAATTTCTTTTTTTTTTTTTTTTTTTTTGGTTTTTCGAGACAGGGTTTCTCTGTGGTTTTGGAGCCTGTCCTGGAACTAGCTCTTGTAGACCAGGCTGGTCTCGAACTCACAGAGATCCGCCTGCCTCTGCCTCCTGAGTGCTGGGATTAAAGGCGTGCGCCACCACGTGAAATTTCTTGAAGTTTCATCTGAGTGTTGACCAGTATTTAAAAATGTTTAGATACCCTCCATGAAGTCCATCCAAATTCACCTAGCCAGTTATGTTACCTAATGACAAGAGCCATTTTAACCGCTGTAGTAAAGCCTCATTTTTCTGGGCAACTTCTCCTAATACCATGTGTCTACCAGCTGAGATATAGTTCCTAACATACCATAATGCCAAATGCTCTTAGTGAATGTTTCCTTGAAGTTAGTGTGTGCGTGGGGGGGGGGGGTAGTGGTGGGTACACGTATATGCTGGTCTGTGCAGGTGGGTGTAGTGTACATAATTCTAGGATCACTATCTTCTTGCTTCTTTTGTTTTGTTTCCAGACAGGGTTTCTCTGTGTAGTCCTGGCTGTCCTAGAACTAGCTTTGTACACCAGGCTGACCTTGAACTTAAAGAAATCTGTGTGTGTGTGTGTGTGTCTCCCAAATACTGGTGGCTTTTGTCCATTTTCGTACTGTTTCTTAGACTGTTGGCAGAAAGGCAGGCTTGGGGCACTGTCCCATGTATGGAAGTCCTCCTAGTAGTTGGTAAGCTCTGCCTTGAGCTTTTCAAGCCATCCTCCATGAAGTGGTTTCCTCTCTGTCCAGCTTCTTTATCATCTGAACTGGCACTGCCTGCATATTTCATGTCCTCTTTTGGCTGACTCTCCTGGAGGGTTCCCATGATGTCTCGTGTATCGCTTAGGACTAATAATATAGAGCTAATTTAAATTATTCACAGACATGGCAGTGCATTTAGGGGCATTTTAATTTCAGTAAATACTGAGGCTGAAAATGTTGAGAGATTATCATATGAATAAAACATGGGCTAAACAAGGAGAAGGATTTTTTTTCCCCTCCAATATCTCAAGTTCACATCTCCACTCCTCCGCAGGCAGGGTTTCTCTGTACAGTCCTGGCTGCCATGGAACTCACTTTGTAGATAGATCAGGTTGGCCTCAAACACAGAGAGATCACCTATGCCTCCCAAGTGCTGAGATTAAAGGCGTGCACTGCTGTGCCCTGCTCAAGTCCACATTCTAAAGTTCACACACCAAACTGTTTTGTATGGAGCCTCTCTTCTGCAGCCAAGCCCCCGCTGCTCGATGCCCCCCCCCCACTTCCTGCAATGCATGAGTTAAGGAGCTGTTTCCTGATCATCGAATGCTTTAAAAAGGCATCTGATAATTAGAGATAAGTGGAGAAAAATTAGAACATGGGAAGTGTACAGTCTGGGCTGCAGCTTCTAAAGCTTCCCATTCTTTCTGCAAGAGTGTTACAGTTTAACTTAGATGTCACTTCTCTTTTAAACCACAGATCATTGAATATGAGAAAAAACAAACCCTGGGACAGAATGATACTGGATTCAGTTGTGACGGCACTGCCAACACATTCAGGGTCATGTTCAAAGAACCTATAGAGATCCTGCCCAACGTGTGCTACACAGCATGCGCAACCCTCAAGGTAAGAGCCGCCCGGACTCAGTGTGGCTCCTGCCTTCCATGCTTTACAGAGCCCCTGGTAGGGGAGCCTCTTAGAAACGGGGAGGGGAAAGCGAGCGAAGACACTCGATGGCTTTAAGTGCTGTCCAGCCCTATGCTATTCCGAGAGAAGAGTTCTTCTTAAGGACTGCCCTTTGTTTAAAGAAATTGAACTTGCCGCACAAGACTGAGACCTTTCCACAGTTGTTCATGGCCTTACTCTTTATTGGTGTTTTAAATTGTTTTTAAGCAAAAACTCCATATTTCATTGAATGACTGAGTGAAACTTTATACGGGATCTGTAATGACTAGGGCAGAACATGGTAAGCTTCCTAGATGACAGTCACTAAACCACCGCTTCTCATTTAGGGTCCAGATTCTCACTATGGCACAAAAGGACTGAAGAAAGTGGTGCATGAGACCCCTGCTGCAAGCAAGACTGTTTTTTTATTTTTCAGCTCCCCTGGCAATAATAATGGCACTTCAATAGAAGATGGACAAATACCGGAAATAATATTTTATACATAATCTAGTGTTAATGACCATTGCGTCTAATCACAGAGCATAAACAACTGGCCACAAATAGTTGAGTGTCATGAGTATTTGTAATTACAGAATAAGAGACATTTTAGTTTCTTAGAGGAAGTAAAAGTTTATTTACATCTCTGCATGATTCAAAGGCAGATTTTCCATTTTCTTCTAACCCTCGGGGCAAAGAGAACCAGGTTTGTGTGAAAAGCGCAGTCTTTCCGCTTCGTCTTGTGTGATTCATAGCTCCACTGACTCGTGGTCTTTCAGTAGTTTGGAAACTGAAAGATTTTTGTCTTATGTAGCAGATGTGGGTGTTTTCGCTTTTTTAAAAGCTTTTGTTTTTACTATTTTGAAAGTTATGTGAAATGGGTCAGTATTCCTATAAAATTCTTTTTAACTCAAATAACTAATTTTAGAAAATTAAGAAAGCTGACTTTATATTTGGGGTTTTGAAATATCTGGTTGTTAGCATTTGGAATAGTGCTAAAAGTAAGACTAAAAACACCCAAGAAAACTTTTCAGTGTATTTATAGAAAGGTATTTTGTAATAGTATAGTAGTGTATTGCATAGTACTGTTTAAAACTGTAAGTGGAGCTTGTATACAGTGACAATAATTGTTGCAAACAGATCACAGGGATGATCTAAGTGGATTCTTTGTCACTCCCATCCTGCTTTGCCTGTCATGGGGCTGCCAGTGATTCCTAGATGCCCGAGAGAAGGTGGGGGTGCCAGTAGATAGCACCTGCACCAGCAGGAACGGGATAGAGCGCTAAGCCCCTCACAGCTGCTTTGACACCATGAAGCTGTCCAGCCAGTCACTCCCGCTGAAAAGGAAGGAGGCTTTTTGTCAGCTACATAGTTCTAGCCAAGAAGCAACATTCTTGATAATTGTGACCTCTCAATGTGGCTGGCGCGTCTATAACAAGAGTGGGTCAGAAGGATATCTGGCAGAGTGACATTTCTACATTTTTATAAAGCAGATTTTTAAAATACAAGTGAGATAACATTTTCCCCTTGAAAATGATTATCTTACAAAAAATTAACCTTGTGTAAACTAAGCTTAAGGTGTATCAGTCCATCCGTAGTTGTGGAAAATTGTTAAAAATAAAAATTCTTCTAAGTATCAACTTAAGAATTTTTTCTAAGTAGGATATAAAAGATCTCACCAAAAGTACTATTTTGTATTTTCAAGAGGGCAGGGGAGATGATGTGCTGATGGCCAGGGCCTCTTGGAGTTGCTGAAGAAAGGGCACTGTTTTCTGTTGGCCCTGGTACCGTGATCTCATGTTGCCAGCCTCAGTTAGCTGGAATACCCATGGAATGTGTGCTTCTGCTTAACTGAAGTTTAGCAAAGACTAGTGGTGGGGAGTACTTCTTCCTTACCAAGTGCTGCATGCAGAGGTAACTAGTGCTTCTGACTCTGGGGCACTCATGTGCCTTGCTTCTTATGAACAACTGTAAAGAGATGTGGCTGATGGAACCTACAAGAAACGGAACCACTCACTGACATTGGGACATCACCTGGAATCTTTAAAATAAATTTATCCTTTTTGTTTACCTATCTTTTGTCATGTGTCTTTTTCTCTAAGAGCTGAATGTGAGACGCTTTATCCAAAGGTTCGTTAAATACAGGTTAGCTCTTGAGCACTTTTAATTTTAACCAGTGCTTACAGAATGGAGCGGGGGACAGTTCAGAAGTACAGCAGGTGCCTAATGTGGTTTGAGTGAAAAGGACCCCATTGGCCCATGGAGAGTGACCCTAGTAGAGTGAGTGCAGGTATTTTTCTGTCAGCTTAGCTACAGAAGAATCTACTGATAGCTTAATTCTTCTCTGTGGCCCCACAGCTCTGCAGTCAACGACCCTCTGGCCCCAGGCTGTGGCCTGTAGGGCCTTCCAATTCCGCGACCCGGGCTCTGCCATGGCCACAGTATGTAGGTTTAAACTAAGTCTATCGTTCTAGTTACCAACAATGACTTGGAAGTCAGATGTGGGGGTGAAAACCTGCTAGATTGGAGAAGCTGTCCAGGGGATTTCATGTGTCCCGATTGTAATTTATTTAAAAAAAAAAAAAAATAGATGTGGTGTGGTTAAACACATGGATCCCTGCCTGAGCCTTCAAGCTTGATGTGCCTAGCCTTTCAGCCCCTTTCCTCATGAGCACATTCAGACACCCTTGTCCTATGGGACGGCTGTGTCTGTGAGGTGAACTGAGATGCTCCATTCTGAGCGCAGCCTTCAATGGCCCTCACGCTCCATCCCACCTGTTACTATCTCCCATTTAGGTGGCAGATATCTTCCTACCTCTGGGCGTATCTCGTCCACACATTCTACCCTAACTAGGCAAGGCCAGTCCCTGACTTCAGCCGTCATCTTGACTGGCCTCTGCTCCACTCTCGCGAGCCGTCCTATTCCATTTCCCATTGTAAATCCCCTCCTTTCGCACTGCGCTGTGCGAATGACCACGATGCCGCGTGGGGAAGACTAGCTGAGGCTGGCTGCTCTTGTCACCAACTCCTAAGGACAAAGATGGCTCTACACGTGATCACACCCCTGGCAGGCAGGTTCCAACAGAACGAAACCCGGGCGCAAGGTGTCGCTCTCAGATAAGGGCAGGGCGCGCACGCTGCTTCCGCCCCGCGACGTGCGCAGGCGCAGAGGACTCTTCCGCCGCTCCGCTCGGAGGCTCTACGCGGCTCCGGCAGGCTTGGGATGCTGCAGCTGGCGGTGGGTCGCGGCGTTTCGGCTCCCGCTAGACTCCTATCTGGTTCCACGATGCCTAAGAAAGCCAGCGCGACGAGCAAGGCCAGTGGCAAGTCCCGTGGTGTGGAGAGGGCGGGCCACGGGGCTTACACCGGCAGGGACTAGAAGCGGCGCCTGGCGCGTGAGAGACCTCCCTGACACCTTGTCACTCGAGTCCAGGTCCGAGCCTTCTGAACCGCACATTAGCCCGCCTGAGGACCCCTGGCCACGCTCCCGCACTTCGAGGGTTGCACTTCCAGGCAGACCGCGTTCTGCCTCCTACATCCCCTCCCCTAACATCTACCTTCCTCAACTCCAACTCCTTTCTGTGACCCAGCTCAGACACTGCCACCTGCTGACCCCTTCCCCAGCTCCCCAGCCCTGGGTGCCTTTCTCCGTGCAGAAACGCACTGTGGATGTGTACTTCATTGGTGCAGTCAGCACAATTTTGTGCTATATTATGGTTCTCTCGCGCTGTGGTCCCAGCTCCTCGAGGTCAAGGGAGTATCTCTTCATATCCACTGTCTGCATACTGCCATGGAATTTATGAATAAAATGTTCTTACCGTGGCGTTTAAGTGCCCGTCATTATTATTATTTCTGCAACCCACCCCTCACCCTCTCACCCACTCCGAGCTTTAGGGTGCATTGGATATAAATACGGCTCTACTTGCGAGGAATAGGAACTATACAGCAGCCTATAGTAACAAGCTCTAAGGTAGCCAGAATGAGATCTAAACAGGGCACGCGCACACACACTTCCAGCTTTATGCTACACCAAGTAAATGGTAATTAATAGCTCTACTTGAGGAGAAAGTGAATTAGTTGAAACTAACAAGAGAAAGCAGCATAAAGGTGTGGAGGCCAGAGTCAGGCCTTCCCAGGCCGTACAAACACTGTGGGCTGGTGGGAGGCTGACAGGGTCCTTGAGGGACAGAAAGCCCCCGGCTGCTGGATGGGAAGCCCGGTTTAGTGAAGGTAAGAGGCAGTAATGGGTCCAGAGAAAAGTGCGATGAAATGTCTCGTAACCTGTAAACTTGTGTGTGTCATTTCAGGGTAAAAACCAAACCAAGGAACCAGAGACACCACTTCCTCCCGCAGGGCCTGTGGCAACCGATCCTAAAGGCTGTGTCACCATCGCCATCCATGCCAAACCCGGCTCTAAACAAAATGCTGTGACAGGTACATCTGAGCACCGATGGGATTCCTGCGTGGGCCAGGCTGTCACTGCACCTTCTTTCTGCCTCGATAGCTGGTAGCCTAGCCTGTGGCTATAAATGGTATTTTTAGATACACTTTAGAGCTTCTCTATTTAAAACCCTATATTCTCACGCAGAGGTATTTGAAACAGATGTGCAATATTTAATACCAAGTTAAACCCTTCAGTCCAGTCCTTGTTTGTGCCCAGGAGAGTGGACTTAGCTTAGCAGTTATTAACCGAAAGCCTGTGCCGGGTAAATCAAACCGTTGGACAGTTCCTGGCTCCGTGGAGGGAAAGATCCCCCTTAGGGTGAAGTTCATGCCATTTCTTTCCAGATCTGACCACCGAGGCTGTTGGCGTGGCGATCGCAGCCCCTCCATCCGAGGGAGAAGCGAATGCGGAACTCTGTCGGTATCTGTCCAAAGTCTTGGAGCTCAGGAAGAGTGACGTGGTTCTGGATAAGGTTGGGTTCTCCCTTCTAAATTATTACATACGGACCATAGTTCATACATCCTGTAATTTTTGTAAAGCCAGTTTTTCAAATAGTTTTATGGGTATGACTGTTTTGACTACATGTGTGTCTGTACCACATGCATCCCTGGTACCCTCAGAGCCCAGAGGAGCGTGTCAGGTCCCCTAGGACTGGAGTTACAGATGGCTGTGGGCCACCATGTGGGTGTTGGGAATCAAACCTGGGTCCTCTGGAAAAGCAGCCAGTGTTCTTAGCCCCTGAGCCATCTCTCCCGTCTTGTAAGGCCAATTTTAAAAACTCATACTTTTTTAAATACAAAATTCTGTAGCTTCATAGTCTCTTTCAGCCATACTGCTTCTGTTTTATTGAGATGGGCCCTCTCTACTTACAGTCCTTCGTTTTGCTCATTTACGGCGTTTTTCTCCTTTCTAAATTCATCACTGTACCTACTGTCAGATTAACCTTGCTCACTTCCTTTAAGACATCGTCATACAGAAATATCGTAAAATGGTTCTCTGTTTGTCATCTCCATTAAGAAGTTCACCAAGTAATTATGACCCCATGCTGGCTCTGCTCACTAGAGGATGCCCTTTTGAAGATTAGTTTATATGACATTGATACCTTGGTTTTACTTTAGAATCTTCAGAGAATGATTTTTAGAAGCAGGCCCCTGGCGTCTCTGTACTCATGCTGAAACAGAGTCCGTCTGCAAGGGAGCAGGCCAAGTTCATGTCTTAAGTTCTGCATGTGGTCTCATGCTGTATGTCCCCTGCAGTTCATATCTGGCTGCCATTTAAAGTCATTGATTAATAATCAATGATGACTAATAATTGATTAATAATATATACCTAAAAATCCTCTTAACAGGCCACTTCCTTTACCTCGCCCACCCTGTGGCAGACAATGTCTAACTTTGACAGTGCTCCAGGTCTGACGGTAGCCTAAGGAACACTTCCACTCTCTGTGTATACACAGTCCATTCAGATAAATTCCCGCTCAAATTATGTTTTATAAAAGGCATGTTTCAAGTAAATCTTTTTAAGAGTTGTTTTAGATGATTATGAAATCATAGTACTTAGATGTGTGGTTGTTTTTTGTTTGAAATTTTCAGAAATGTGTAACAATTTAGGAAAGAGCAATTTGTTTAGACTTAGGTGTCTAAGTCTATAAAAAGTTTATACTAAATTGTCATGCTTAATATTTTGAAATTATTTTCCTTTGTAATTAAAACAAATTACTTGAAACTAGAATACTGGCCAGGCATAGTGGGATGTACCTGTAATCCCAGCCCCTGAGAGAGACAGACAGGATCAGGGGTCAAGTTCATCCTTGGCTGTATATTGAGTTTGCACTAATCTGATCTACGTGGTACCCTGTCTTGAAAGAAAAAAAAGAAGAAGAAATTAGAATGTTGTAAACATTCGTCTTGAAATTTTAATGCCAAACTTTTATTATAAAAATTGAAGTAGAAAGCCAAGAAACCCGGGAGAGTCATACAAATTTGTTTTAAGGTACAAGTGTCCAGGAGAGAGTGTGCCCAGATGCCTTAGGGTCTCTATTGCTGTGAAGAGACGCCATGACCAGGACAGCTCTGACAGAGGAGGAAATCATTTCATTGAGTTAGTAGCTTACAGTTTCAGAGGTTTTAGTCCATTATCATCGTGGTGGGGAGCATGGCAGCGTTCAGGGAGACATGATGCTGGCTACACCTTGATCACAAGGAAATGGACTGAGCGTCACACCGAGTAAAACTTGAGCAAAAGAGACCTCAAACCCCACCCCCACAGGGATACACTTCCTCCAAGGCCACACCTAATAGTGCCACTCCCTTTGGGGGCCATTTTCTTTTAAACCACCACACTAGGCTATTGGGGGGGCCATCCATGACACCCCATGAAGACACGCTGCAGGGGAGACAGAGGTCTGTTGCTCCTGCCAGTATTAGGATGCTAAGTGTGTCTTTTTCCTTCTGGTTCAGGGTGGTAAATCTCGGGAAAAGGTGGTGAAGCTCTTGGCCTCTACGACTCCAGAAGAGGTCTTGGAGAAACTGAAAAAGGAAGCTGAAAAAAAATAAAGGCAAGAAATGATAAGTACGTCCTTCAGGAGTTTCAATAACAACACAGAAGTGGCTAAATAAGAAAACATATATAAGCCGGGCGGTGGTGGCGCACGCCTTTAATCCCAGCACTCGGAGGCAGAGGCAGGCGGATCTCTGTGAGTTCGAGACCAGCCTGGTCTACAAGAGCTAGTTCCAGGACAGGCTCCAAAACCACAGAGAAACCCTGTCTCGAAAAACAAAACAAAACAAAACAAAACAAAAAAAAAAAAAG